TTATAATTCAATAGCTTATTGAAGGAAGCAAATCAAAATTCAGGGATATATTAGTCACTTAGTGCCTCACTATGTAAAATTACAAAGAATTAAAGGGTTATATTAGTACAATTGATATTAAAATACCTAAGTTAGCTAAATAATATTTATAGAATACCCGAACCTATATTATTAATTATTAATATATCAATATTATTTGTCCAAACCTAATTACGAAGCATGATTGTTCGCCAAATAGGATTCCGAAGCACCAAAAGCAGCCACGTAGGCTCAACGCATTCTGGAATTATATATAGGGAGGATTTTAATATATTCACTAACAACTAACCGTACCACCTTTTTAAAAATTAACCAAACCAAATCAAAAAATCCAAACAAAACCAAAAAATTTTATATCCAATTTGATTCCTTTAGCCATGATTTGGTAATTAATAATAACTATTACAATACTCGTGTACTCCACGGGTACTTGTTAAGAAATTATATTTAAATTAAATAATACTAACAAAATTTGTTTTAGTTTTTAAATACTTTTTGAAAAAATATATTATCACTTATATTTAAAATGTCACCGTAACTTATTATATTTTTTCTCAATTTACATTAAATAATTACTTTGTAGTTAAGTTAGTTTAACTAATTTTATTTTTCGAGTTAATATATAGACAATTTAATTTTAATTATGTAGATAAATAAAATTATTTATTAATTTTAATCAAATCTAGTTAATTATGGAATTACACAGTTTTTCTTAAACAGTGTGTAAGATTTAAAAAGTATGATATTTACACATAATCAATTTTCATGAATAATATTGTAGATACCAAATATAATTATAGTATATCCGAGCCTATTTATTTGAGAATGAAATTATATTAATTTTTTTTCGAACCAAAACACGAAGCATGAAATGTTGTCAAGTAAGATTCTAAAGCGTGCGAGCCAGCCATTTAAGCTCAGCACGTTTTGAAATTATATAAAAGGGGGATTTTATGTAATAATGTTTAGAGAAAAACAAAATTTGTAGTTTGTGGATTTTAATATTTGAATTTTATATTGTACAAGAACAGGAGGTTAGAGCAGGATTATTTAATAGTGGTATAGGTATGCGTGTAGATTTAAAGTAGTCTAATCTATATATATTTATATATAGTGTATGTTTGGAAGTACTTATGAACTTTTGACTATAAAAGTTAATTTTTTATATAAAGAGATGTTTGGTGTAAATAACATAATAGACTTTTAAATATGTAACTCCCATAAAAAGTCCATTTCAAATAAGTTTATATTGGACACTTGAGAAGTCACTTTTCAAAAAGTCCATCTTGAAATGAATTTCTCTGTCGTTTCGGGAAAAAAAAAAAATGAATTTCTCAATAAGTTTTCCAAACAAGCCCACAATATATGTATATAAAGTTTCGTATTTACTTGAAATATTAATTGAAATTCAGCCTAGAATTTTTATTTTTATTTTATTAGTATTTCTTTCGAAAAATTTTGAAAAGTGGCGCTCAGTTTTTTTAAACTCAAATTTAAAAAGTCAATGCAATTAATGTACAAAATAATTGTGGTTAAATATTGCGGTTACTGCCCATATTAGTTGCATGGTTAAAATTTGATATTGTCACAGTATAATATATTTTGTATATAATATTAAATTATTGAATAATGAAAATATGGAACTAAAAGTAATGATTAAATAGTGAAAAAAGTAAACAATGAAGGGAAAGAAAATAGTATGAAAAAAAATTAAATAACAAAAGAAAAGGAAATAGTAACATATTTGGTAATCAGGGGTCCCTAAAATCAAGTTCAATATTGAATTAACTTATGATGGTAGATCCAATCTTATTTTGAATTTAAATAACAAAGTAATATATATTATGCACAAGT